AATCAAAAATAGTTTTTTTTTTTTTTAAACAAATGTTTTAAATAATAAAATTATTATTATTATTGAAGTTAAATTTAATTTTTTAATAACAAAAGTTAAATAGTATTTCTTTTATAGCTAGAAAATATAAATTAACAAGCATAAAATTATTATAAGTATATATTGTCTGAATAAAAAATTTTAACAAATATCATAATATTTTCTATTATTTTTTTCTTATTTTTATTTGATTAACTTTGATATTTATACAATTGAATTTTATTTAAAACTAATGATAAAATTTTTACTTTCTATATAAAAGATTTTATCAAATATGTAAATTTATTTTCTGGATATAAGTACATATAATATAATTACAATAGTGAATAAATAAGCTGGTACTAACAATAATCATTAGGTAATATTAATTCTATATATATAAAGATATAAGATAGGTATATTTCTAATTATATACAAATGATTCCATATATAAAAGGTACTTGATATCTGTCTAAATATAATGTATCAATAAGTTATGCATTATTACATATTTATTATAAAAAAAAATAAAAAGGAAAATAGTTTATTTAAATAATAATAATACATAATTTTTTTTATAATATTATATGGGTAATTATTTTCGAAGGTAGACCGGAAATTTTCTGGCGTGATCCTAAAATTTATATTATATGTATTGTTTAAAAGTTGGGTCCGAAAAATAAAAAATTTTTTTTAAAAAAATTAATTTAATCAATTTTTATTGTGAAAAAATATTTTTGATTCAAAAAAATTACCACGATCCATATTTGTATCACGTTTAAATTTTCAATATCCTGTTGTATATACAGTATATATATATATACAGTATACTGATATCTCACATCCATAATCTTAACTTTAATCATCCAGCTAGACATTGTAAAAAAATTTTTATCAAGATATTTATCAAAGTATTCGAAAATCAAATTCAATTAATTGCATTCCTTTTACTTAAAGGCAACTCAGAATTTTATCTAAACAAATAAATACGAGCTTTAGCAACAACATCCGGCAACTCATCTTTTATAATAGACGATTAAAAAAAATGGTTCAATTGGAAGAAAGATTGAAAAAAATTTCAAAATCAAATGTGAAGTTTTACAATTGGTCAAGAACTTATGGATGTGAACCGGAATTGTATTTCGAACCAGAATGCGAGGAGGACGTAATTAAGGTGTGTGCTATTTATTTCAAGACGTGATAAAATTGGATCTGAAATCGAAAAAAAAAAATCTAGATCGTAGAGTTAGCAAAAGTTAATAGCAAGAATATTCGAGCCATCGGTTCGGGACATTCACCATCTGATCTCGCATGCACCGAAGGATACATGATCAACATGGATAAACTCAGTCGTGTCTTGAAAGTTGATCTTGAATCAAAAACGGTGGTGGTAGAGGCTGGGATAAAATTGAATAGATTAAACCAGGAATTGGATAAGCATGACATGGCATTGAGTAGCCTGGGATCGATCTCGGATCAAAGTATTTCTGGCGCGATCTCTACGGGAACTCATGGAAGCGGAGTCAATTTTAGGAATCTTTGTGATCAGGTAAGTAACCTTTCATTGAATCCTGTGACCATTTGGTAGCAAATAAAAAGCCTATCGAAATCCAGATCGTTAAATATGCCACGGATTATTTTTTTGTTTTTTGTTTTTGTTCTCGCGACGAAATAATAGATCATATCTCTGACCTTAGTCACGGCATCAAACGGAGTTATGCACTGTTCTGCGAAGGAAAATCCGGAAGTATATAAAGCGGCTTTATGCAGTTTGGGTGCATTGGGAGTTATCACGAGCGTCGCCATCAAATGCGAGAGCGCGTTTCGACTGGAATCCACACAAATTCCTGGAAAATTAAACGACATTTTGGATAATCTGGATGAGATAATACATTCGGCGGAACATGTTAGGTTTTGGTGGTTTCCTCACACGGAAAATTGTATTATTTGGAGAGCAAATCGTACTACAAAGGTATCATCAGCGAATGAGTGAATTAAATAGTCTGACAATTTTCTCTGGTTAATTTCGGTCTTTAAACGAAGGACTTAAAACCTCTAAAATCCTCATACATACGAGAAACCGTCCTCGGCTTTCATGCACTCGAATTCGTTCTCTACCTTTCCCGATTTGTACCCTCCATAAATCCCGCGATCACTCGAGCAATGTTCAACATGAGTTTCTCTAAGCCCGTTCATGTAATCGACACTTCTCATAAAGTTTTTAATTTCGATTGTTTGTTCTCACAATACACGAATGAATGGGCGATACCCTTGGAGCGAACTAGAGTAGCCATGAGAAGGTTGTCTAAATGGATAGATGAAAGTGGATTGAATGCACATTTTCCGGTGGAGGTGAGGTTCGTGGACCAGGACGATGTTTGGCTAAGCCCGGCTTACGGAAGGAGGGTTTGTTATATTGGAATTATTATGTACAGGTACAAGTGAATTCTTTTTCGTACGAGTTTTTTTTTTTTTTTTTTTTAAAAAAAAAAAATCGTATGTGAATGTATTCTTCTTTTCTTTAGGCCCTATAATCAACCAACGCCTTATAAAAAATATTGGACCGCCTTTGAAGACATCATGAAATCTTGTGAGGGTAGACCTCATTGGGCCAAGGTAGTCCTCATGATCACCTTCCAAAGTTAATTTTCAATAATCGCGTAATTTTAACTTGTTTATATTTTACCAAGGCCCACAAAATGTCCGTATTAGAACTTTCCAAGTCCTATCCAAAATTTGAATCCTTCATAAATATTCAGAAACAACTGGATCCATCAGGAATATTTCTGAATTCGTATTTAAAGAGACATTTCTCTGGACTCGAAGATGAAGACAATGAAGCAAAACGCTTTAAAGCCAAGTTGTAAAATCAAAATTTAATGAATTGACAATTCGTTCGAAAATTACCGCGCTAAGAAAATGAATTGAATTGCCTTTCGGTTACAATACACCTTCTATACATATTTCGTGACTGAATTACTGATCTTTTAGTTTAACATGATAAATTTATTTTTTCTTTGTGGAACACAAATTCGCGTTTTTGTGGACGCAACGTAACGAACCGAAACAAATTCTCAAACAACATGAATAAATATGATGTTATATACATTCGTTAACGCATTTTCATTCAATCATATGAATTGTGAACATCCTTTCCCCGATTGAGAAAAATCGGATCGCCTCATCTGATAAGCTGTGCATCGATCTAGCAACGCACACGTAAAGAACGGGTTCGTCGTTAGAATAGGGATTGATGGAATAAAAAGGAAATGTTTAAGTATAAACGATCAAGGCAAAGTCAAACTTTCAAAGATAATAGCATTTAATCAGAAAACCATATATGACATTAAGCAAACAACTGCAATATAATGGGAGAAATACCAAAAACAGGTGGAAAGAGAAATCAAAGACCAAAACAACAAGTTAGCTATAAAGCAACTCTCTGCAAACAAGATATGGAACATTACATGGGGAGTCATCTGCGTAGCAGCACTACAACACTTAAAGGAAAGAATTCTGCGCACCATAGAAAAAAAAAATGCAGGTTCGTTATCTGACTTCGAACGCGAATTCGTTCGTTATTCAACTTTCGAACGCGATTTATGGTGGAAGAAATCTTTTAAAGTTTTCGTTTGTCTATAATTTAATTTGATTGTAGGAAATCGTAATCATAGGAGAGGCAAGGGTTCATTTCAGAATCATGTTCACCCCTTGATATGGAATAAAAGCGTCTCAAATAGCACTTTCGGAGATTAAAATGGATAGGTTTGTTGAAAAGTGCCTAGAATCTCGCGACAAAAAATGAAAGTTATCTTAATACCGACGGGTATCCCAATCAGTAATAAAGAAGCACTGGATTTCAGAAATTTTCAGTAAAGTCCTCAAAGTTTTCTAAGTGTGACAATACAATTAATTGGCTGTTTCAATTTATTATTTTTTCCTTGTATAATCTATTAGAAAGAGCTGAATCCATTGACTTGATAGCTCACAAAGAAGAATCAGAGAACAAGATTGACATCGCTGGATTACATATAGATTGTGTCATTAACAGAAGATAGAAATTTTCGCAAAACTCCTAATTGAGAAGATAGATGGATGCAAATTAATAAAATTAATTAACATAATGATTGTTACATGAGCCTAAAGTGCATTATCTATTCACATTATTAATTGTTTGATTTTGCTTCAAAGCTAATTAATAATTTGTCCAAGGATTACCACTTGAATGGTGACACCAGAATTTTCCTATTCCCGAAATCCAAATCGCCATATACAACCATCAAGCCGTATATTGATTAAATCCAAGTATCGCGACGATTCTGGAGAACTCGTCACAATTTCTACTCCTTACGAGTTCAACAAATAAACTATATGCGAAATAAAATGGAACTATGGTATGTGAGTGCCGCCGAATTTTATGGAAATGTAAATAATGAATCTTAAAATAAATAATAATTCTGCAGCGAAATTTACAAAAAGCTTATTCTTAGAAACGGCGCTATAACTTTCTGTGAAATGTATTTGAAAGAGTGTAGGAAATATGAAATATGAAGATCAACTTTGATTGGTTACATAGTTTCACTTGCTAAAAATTTTTTTCAGTGGCTGACATATAAAATTTCCGAGTAATATCTGCAGCGATTCTGTGTTTTAAAAGAGGGAAAAAAGGGTAAGGAAAGAATTTTGAAAAAAATCGATTTCCTTTATATATTTTTGGCATTACACGTCAGTTCATATGAAAGAATGCGCCATTTTAATGTTACATGTGAGTAAAAATATCATCCTGCACGGAAATTCCAATAAAGGAATCAACCTCATCCTCGTCTCAGCAAAAAGAAATACACGTTACAAATGAGATTAGAGCACAATATTCTAAAATTTGGCAACGGCAAAATCGTGTAAAACGTGTGTAGTTGGAAAGTGACACTTTGTATATCTAGTTAAATACACGGTGCAGTAGATTTCTTCAATGTCCCTGCTAATTAAATTCTAGGTACGGTCTTTCCTAAAATTTTTTAAAAATATATATTCACTTATCCTGTTATTGTAAAGGAAAAAAATTTTATTTACTCACCTTCGACAAATCCATTCAAATTGACGATCTCCACAAAATCTTCAGGATCCTCTTCAATTTCTTTTTCTCTTGATTTTCTCACGTATTCCTCTATTAACTCTCCGAACTCGCTACCCTCGTCATAAGAATACAAAAGGTGACTTGTATAAATAGCCTCTTGATGCTGCGGAATTGAATCAACTCCAGATCCAATGAAACCTCCTTCTGAGAATGGAACCCAATTCAGTATCAATATGATCTCGTGAATGTTAGGTCGTTTCGTTGGATCTGAATCCCAGCATTGCATAATCAAATCGGTAAGCGCGTATGGTGTACCTTCAGGGATTTCTGGTCGTAGTCCCGAGCAGATCTCCAAAGTCAGGTAAATATCATGTGAGCAATCAGAATAAGGTTTTCTTCCCATGATCACGGTCCAAATTAGCATAGCTAAGCTATATATGTCGGACTCTTTGGTGTACTCAGAACCTTTAAGTACTTCAGGTGCTACAAATGGTAAAACACCATATAGTTTACGCGTATGCCTCTCGTCTACCGGATTACACACCCCTAGATCACTAATGTACGTTTGATGATCACCAGTTTCCTGATACACGTGTCATAATATGTTCCCGAGATGTAAATTGGTGTGTACCTTGTCTTCGTCGTGTATAGCTTTCACTCCATAGGCGATTCCAAGAATTATCGATTTCTTGTCTGCCCACGTTAAGGTGTCCAAATATTTTTCGAGGTACTGATAAAGATTTCCATTATTAGCATATTGGCATACTAGCATATAATCTTTTGTTTCTGGGTCTTTTGTTATTCCATAGCATCTTGGGATTGTTATATCGTCAACGGATACATATGATTTCAACTTTAAAAAAGTTATTAATATTTACAATTACTATCATATTGTTATTATATTTTCAAGAATTCTTTTCATTACTTACACTCTCGACAAAGCCTTTACTTGATTTTCTAGATCCCTTTAGTGATTTCAACGCATAGTCAAAGGAATCATTATTCAAGACATGGTAAACCGTACCAAAACCCCCTTTTCCTATCTCATTTATGAATTTCAACTCCTCGTAAGGAAACCATTGAAAGTATTTTTCACATCGTATCCTTGGGCAAATCACCATATTCCTGTTTCTATAGAAACTCGAAGACCATTGGTTTTGGTACTTTGCCATGTATTTACACTGAATTTCGTTGATTACCCTATCAATTTCCTTATTCCCACTTGAAATATGATAAGAACGGTCTACGGGATATTTGCTACTTGAAAGCAACGACGCGAATAGTTTGTTTAAATCCATGTCTGATTCTGGATAGAGAGAGTGCCACGGAAAAGTGGAAGGAATTTTGAGGCCGAATATCGGAGTAGATCATCTTGGATACCATAAATGGGATATCTTTTGATAAATTTTTCGATTTTGCAAATTAATGCTAGGTAATTTTTCTTTTTACTTTCAACCAGTAAGGCAATTTACTCGAGAATTAGGGAATCGGTTAACTCACTAATATCCATTGAGATCTGTAGTTACATAAGTTACATATGATTTGTGTAATAAACAAAAAAAATATGATTTGTGTAATAAAAAAATTTTTCAAAAAGCCTCACACTATATACAGAAAATCCTTTTATCAATTTTGGTTTCAAATATATAAAACTTTAATAAAATTCTTTTTTATATATATATATTTTTAAAAATATATATGTAATTTGCTATAAAGTTTTTTAAAATAATTGATTTTTATTTATAATTAAATTTTTCTTATTAAAATATAAATTTCTTTTCAATGTTTTTTTTTTCTTATTATCAAGTATCAAACTTTAAAAAGAACATATGAATATCATTTTGATTAAAAAGTTAGAAACTAATATAGAAAATATTATATACATATATATATAATATAAATTATTTTGTTATTAATTGTATTACAACTTATGATTATATCAATTACAATAATTGATATCAAATCAGTTATATATTATATATAAAAATAATAATTCATAAACATAATTAATATATTAATTATTTAAAAAACCATATTAAATATTTATATTGTTTTATAAAAATCGTTTTATTTAAAAATAAATTAAAAAATTAATAATAAAAAATTTTGATAATTAAATTGAAAAAAAATTTTTTTTACCTGTTTATTACTAATTTTTTTTTTTGTGATAATTTTTTTGAAAAAGGTATTTTTCATTTTTTTTTTCAATATATCAACTATTTTATAAACTCAAGAATATAAAAATTATAAAAATTATTATTGTGTTAAAATAAAATCTCTAATTAAAAATCTTGCTTATTTTTTAGTTATACAGTATAAAAAAATATTTATAACAGTTTTTCTTTATAATTTTATTTTTATATATTTATCTTTTTTAAAAAGTATAATCATTATTTTTATATTAATTTTTAATATTATAAACTTATTTTTAAAATCATATTTAAGTAAAATTATTAAATTTTCTACTTGTTCTAATTAAATCTTTTTAACTATTTTTTTAATATATATTATTATATTATTCCAAAATCTATAAAAATTTTCTTAATACAAAAAATCAAAATCAATTATAGCTCTTCAAATAATTAATACAAACTTAATAATTAATTAAAATCTATTTATAATAACAAAAACAATATCATATAATAAAAATATTAAACTTTTTATATATTTTATTTGATTTTTAAACAATTGTTATATAATTTTATAAATTTAAATAATAGTTTCAAAATCTAATTAATTAAATTTTAATTTAAAAAAACTACTATATAATTTTATAGATTCAGATAATATATTCAAAATTTAATAATTAAAATTATTTTTTTTTAATTTAATTATCTATAAATAGATATAAACTATTTATAAATTTATTTTTAATATAATATTATTTATTTAATATAATATTATATTAAAATTTTATATATAATAAATTAATATTAATTTAATACAATATATGCTTAATATAATAATAAAATTTTTAATTACTTAATAAAATTTTATGTTTTATATTTGTTTATAATAAAAAATTTTTTTTGTTATTATTTTTTTTTAAATATTATTTAATTTTTATATTTATTATATTTAATTTTTTTTTTTTAATTCCGCAATTAGGTTGAATATATGCAAAGTACGAATTTTCCCAACCCAACTAACCCATCTTTAGTTGAAGCCTTTAGATGTAATTTATGGAGTGATGTATTGTTTCTCTAAAGGATGAAATTAAAATTCCAAACTTTTGATAGAATTAATATATGCAGATCACCTTTACAGTTACGACTATAAAATTCAAATTGTATCACTTCCTCTTGTAGAAACTATGCAAAGGAAAAAGAAATAAAAAAAGAAATTTTTTTGACAAAGAGAAAAGAAAAAAAGCTATCATCTATTCTAACTATTATCGAAAAGATTATTTTGATAAACTTAAAACCCAAGTCCCTTATAGTTTCCCACTTCTCATCACCTGTGGCCAGTCAGACTGTTTAATTTCCAATGAAGTAATCGATATCCAAGAACGTTTAAGAGCACTTCCAGGAGAGTATTTCTTGAAACTTTACGCTTGAAGACTTTTAACCAGAAAGGATGTTGGTTTTCTATTGTTGATTTCTCTCCCAAGCCATATCTTCTGGAATTATAGCTTCACTCAACCATTGGATAGTTTCAAAATTCCTTTCTCCAACCATTTTTAGGATAGATATTGGTATTTCAACTTGTTATCAGATTGGGATAGGATCTAAACCTTGTTGCTACTTTTTGTCTTCAAGAAAGAATAGGGAAGAAAAAAAAGAAAATAAAAGGATAGGAACAAAAAGGAATCGCTTCTCTTCTTCTCACAACTTCAATTTGAAATTGTCTAACTCTTTCAGGAACCAATCATATCATCAGTTTGGTGTTGTGTAACTGAAAATACGTGAGGAGTATATGTCTTGTTTACTTTTTCTGTGACTGATGTGATCAACCAATCTGTGACCTTGATCAATCATCTTTCAGGAAATCTGATGTAACCAAAAAATTCAGGGTCAAACTGAGATAGGCAAAATTTCTCAGAAAAATCAGAAAAAAGGAAGCATGCTTGAGAAAAAAGAAGTGAGAAACCAAAGAGATGATGGAAAGACTAAAGACTTTTTTATTCTTGTTTCTCTAAATTCTTGAATCTTTTGGAGATCTTTGGAATGTATTTTTTCTTGTCAGTTTTCTTTCTATAAAGATGTTTTTGCCATAGATCTTTTTGATAGGTTTCTTGTATTTAATTGTAAAAATAAATATGAAAAGTGTTTTGAAAAAACAAGTGGTGGCTTCTGCTTGCTTGACTGGTTAAAATCAGTATTGTTTTTAAGAAAAGTGTATAGACTTTATTATTATAAAGACAAAAAATCTTTTGAGAACATCTGTTTTTTGGGTTGGCAAAAGGATCAGCAGAAAGAGTTTTTTATATTTAATTTTTTCTTATATATTATTATTATTTTTTTTGTTTATAAATAAATATTATTTAAAAAAAAACACTTTTTCACTTCTCCCAAATACTTAAAAATTTCTTTTTTAGGAAACTTTTGAGTTGTTTGCTTTTTTTTTGTCTCTTTAGGTTTCCTTATTTCTTTTTTTTCTTGTTTTTTTCTTCCTTTTCCTATTCTTCTTCTCTATTTTTCAAACTTTGCTTTTTAACTTTCTTTTTTTCTTTTCCTTTTTTTTGCCAAAGTTAGATTTTTTCTTCCTATTAAAGGTTTTTTTCTTTAGGCCTCTTCTTTTTTTTTAAAACATTACTTTATTTTATTACTTTTTTGACTAACAAGTTTTCTCTTTTCAGAAATCATTAAAAAGTAATAACTTCTTTCAAGATATGAACTTTGAAAAAATTTTCTTTTTTACAAGTCTCAGAAAAAAAAATAAAAAATTTACTTCCTTCAAAAGATTAATATAATTATTATTATTAAATTCAATGTTGTTTACTAATTAATAGACAAGATTAAATACATTTAAGAAACCATTGTACAACTATTATCATCTAAATCTTCAAGAAATTATACTCTACAGTATTCAGACCAATATAACAACCAATATCAATGTATTTTATAACAAGGTACAAGTATTATGCTGGTGATTGGAAAATCTAAAAAGATAATATTTAGTAACCAGAAGTTTAAGTTTCTTTACAAATAAGCTGATAATGACAATGCAAGTTTCTTATTTACTTCTTAACAATATAGATTTATTATATAAGTTTAAGTAATAATATCTATAAGAAAATCCAATCCATTATATCTAACAATTTTTCTTAATAATCACTACTATACATTAGGAAATTTTTTTGGTGAAGATCTCCAAAGATCTCCACCTATGATTCTGAAAATTGGAATCAAACAGAATTGCAGAGAATCATATAAGATTTAGAACACTATTAAAAATGATAGTGGGGTATACCCCACTTATTAAATTTAATATAAACTTAAGAATCAAATACAGAATCAAAGATAATCGTTAGGATCTTTATCTCCACTCCAAAAAAATTTTTCGAAAATTTTTGAAAAAATCTTTGAAAATCTTCAAAAGTTTTTAAAATAAAAAACTCTAGAAATTTTTATTTCAAAAAAATTTAAAAATATTCAAAGTAATAATAATTTTTTTTTTTTAATTCCACAATCAGGTTGATGTCATTTATTTATTTAATTATAAAGAACCATTACAAGTTGAGAATCCATGTAAAGTATAAAT